AACTGGCGTAATAGTTAAAATATTAGAAATATTAGATAGAGCGCAGTTTTTGGCACGACCAGCCGCAACATCTAATAAATCTTTAAAAATTTTAGAATGCTTTCCAATTATTGGAAAGATGATTGATAAATTATGATAAATTTCATAAATGAAGTTTGAATCGTTAGAATCATATGATCCAGTTCTATTAATATCGATTAAATGATAATACCAAGTTTTACAAATATCAGGAAGTTTGTTTGTTTTAAAGTTTTTAAAATCCGACTTAAACCAATAATCCAATAGATTTGGAAAAATTGAAAGTAAACCAGGTTTTGGAGATCCAGATATATACTTCATTGCTTCTAAAAAGTCATCTTTGGACCACTTAAGTTGAGGATCTTTAAGAATTTGAAGAATTGATTCAGAGTCACTTTTATTCCATTCTTTCAAACGGTCATTAAGTAATGATAAAGATCTATTTCTAAATATTCCAGCAACTTCTACACGAAGTTCTATAGGCATCCGTGAAAAATAATTATTCAAACTTGTTGCATGTGATGATGAAATAAGCTGCTCAACGCGAGGACAAAAGTATTTAAGAAGTTGAATATCACGTTCTGTCGTATGTTCAATCATATCGGTCCAAACAAAAAGAAGAATTTCGAAGGAGTTACAATTATAAAATAACCACTAAAAAATAAATCAATTTATAATTAAGAATTATAATTATAATATCGTTTATAAAAAAACTTTAACTTACCTTTCCAATATTGGAGTAAATTGACAAGTTCTTAATTTGATTTACGATAGATTTTGCGGATTTTGTATATTCTTTTAAAAAATTCTTCATTCGATCATTGCTATATTTAAGGTCTTGAATTGCTTCGATAAAACTGAAATGTGGATCGATAATACTAGCAACTTTGAAAAGCTTTAACCAATCAAAAGATCTATTGATTACGTTTAAACGGATTACAGCAGTCATTGTTATGTTTAATGCGTCATAGAATTCTCCAGGCAAAAGATCGGGTTGAAATTTCTCTAAAGTGTCAATAATTTGAGCTATAGGAAACCCATTTGGTAAGCCAAACCGACCAAATGATTCTTGGCGAAAGTGAATATAATTTCCTAAAAGAAGACATAAAAAAATACGCTTTTCGTATTCCTTTGATTTTGTCTTTGAATATTCTGACTAATAAAATCAATATCTGTTTCATGCAATACAGGATTACGAAAGTTATCCATAAGTCCTTGATATTCCATAATCTTATCTTTAAAATTATTTGAAGTTATACTATTAAGGAGAATACTCGTAAACACAAAGTCTCTAAGAGATCGAAACTCAGTACGCCGGGTTTTAATAACAAATACTTGTGCTATGTCAAATTTGAATCCAGTTTTTTTTTCCAAAAGTCGTAATGGCTCATTTTCTTCCGAATAAAGATCTCCTTCTTCTTTATTCTTTCCGTCTTTACTCTTCTTATTTTTTGAATCATTTGCTTCCTCATCTTCATTTTCATTCTTTTCATCTTTTTTCTTCTTATCTTTTTTATTCTTACTTTCATTTACCCCCTCATTTTCATCTTCATTATTATCATTATTGACCTTATTTTTAGGATCATTTGCTTTATCATCGCCATCTTCTTTCTTTTCATCATTCTTATTTTTATTATTATTTTCTTGATCCTCTCCGTCTTCACGGCTTTCTCGCGTTACAGATGAATCATCAGGATTATTGTTTTCATCGTTGTTATTTTTTTTCTTTTTATCTAAAGCATCCTCATTTTTGTCAGATTTGGATTTGGTAAATAAAGAAAATTTTGATTTTTTAGGATCATTTGCTTTATCATCACCATCTTCTTTCTTTTCATCATTCTTATTTTTATTATTATTTTCTTGATCCTCTCCGTCTTCACGGCTTTCTTGCGTTACAGATGAATCATCAGGATTATTATTTTCATCGTTGTTATTTTTTTTCTTTTTATCTAAAGCGTCCTCATTTTTGTCAGATTTGGATTTGGTAAATAAAGAAAATTTTGATTTTTCCTCAATTTTTGGCTTCGGGATGAAGAACGCATATTTATACTTGACTTCATAATTATTGAATCTCTCAAGTGGTATGGAAATTGGATCTGAATACCAATAATTAGATTTAAAGTGCAAATATTCACCTTTCTGTTGTTTTAGTTTAACAATCGGATTTTCCCAATTGCCTAATTCTTCGATATTACCAACAACAATAGGATAACCTTCAAAAAATTCAAAGGAAGGTAAGTAAACATGAAAAGTAACTTTAATATTTGAAGAATCATCCCCGAAAATGGTTTTCTTCCATCCCTTGAAAAAATTTTTATTTTCTGTGTTAGTCGATTCAGGCTGTGATTGTTGGGGATCATGATTTTGGTTTGTTCCCGTAGAGTCATCTGCACCGTTTTGATGCTCAGAATCATCGGCTTGCACAGAAGTTTCGGAAAAAGTTTCTACGGTGGATTTGTCCGGTAAAATCACAGTTCCATCTCTATTAGTTTCGGATGACATATTTCATAAGTGTTTATATTTCCAAATAATTATTATTATTTAAATTCACACATTGAATCCTAAAGTATGTAAATATTTTATTTGTAATCTAAAGATAATTATAAAAAAATCTGTCGTTCGAACAAGAAATAAGAAAAAAAACGAAATGAAAATTTTAATATGCTTATTTATCTATAAGATTGTCCAAAAAAAAAAATATTTATATTTTCATTGTTTATTTTCCAAATTAAGTGATAAAACAAAAATACTGCGGAAGTTTACTCACTTAATTTAAATGAAATTAACTTATCCGGTTAATTAGATCTTTTAAATACCTTATTTTTTTTGTTCTTTATCTCTCTTGAAATGGATTCTATTTGGTTTGTATTTAAATGAAAAATTATTTTTGGACTAGCTTTGTTATGAATTTCTAAAATTAGTTTAAATGAGTGTACGTAATTTAACATAATATGTAACAACAATTACATATCTTACTGAGTTTGACCAGCATTACTATTAATTTTGGCCAAATAATGAATATATTTCGGAAAAAATATTAATTCTTGTGTGTTAGGTAGATATTTTGTGTGATTACTGTGACAAACACCATTAGTTATTATAGCTATTATGCAATAAATAATTGTTTATTTACTATTTTTTAACACAAAGTGAGTAAATATGCATATAATGTTACCAATATCAAAGTCAACGCTCTGGTCTAGGAGGACGTACAGTTTTTAAAAAAAAAATTAATTTTTGTACCAACTTTTAATAATCGTTATCTTCCCATTATATATCAACTAATGTTAAATTGGAATTGTTTATCAGATAATTGTTTGATGGGCGTAAAAAGTGCCGATCGACTTTGTACCTTATCACTTTTATTTTGTGGGTCATATGATTATATAATGGAGAAAATAATGGAAAAGATCAATGCCTTAATAGCTAATAAATATAATGCATGCATGAATTTTTTTTTTTTTTTTAATCATGATTGCAGAAGTTATAGCTGTAACTGTAACTGCTTTAGCTATTCCAACTGGTTTCGTGGCTTTTTATGTTTGGCTTTTACAAAGCCGTAAAGGAACTTTGCCTATAACAACAACTGAATGTGCATATAATCGTAATAAATATGGACATATTCTTGATTGGGATAAACATTGTTTATACATTCATAAAAATCCAACATTAATATTTAGTGGAGAATTTCATTATTGGCGACTTCCTGATCAATCAAGATGGGAAAGTGTGCTAAAAAAGTATCGAGCAGGAGGATTTAACTGTATTAGAATTTATTTCCATTGGGGATTTCATAATCCTGATCAGGGAATTTATAAGTTTGATGGCAATAGAGATGTTAATCATTTGTTGAATCTTTGCGAAAAATTGGGACTTTATGTTCTAGCAGCACCAGGTCCTTATATTTGTGCTGAAACTCAAGTGGGAGGATTTCCATTGTGGTTAGCTGCTGAAAAACATAGAATACGTCATATTAAATTCACAGGATTTAAAGAGTACGATAAAACTTTTGCGGAATATGAAAAAGAATGGTTTGAGAATATTTTACCAATCTTAGCGCGTCACCAAATTACTGAAAAATCTAATGGATGTGTTATTGCACTTCAAATCGAAAATGAATTATTTGAAAAAGCACGAAAGATTCCATTTGGCTTACATGATGAAATGCGTTTTCTTTGTAAAGTAGCAAGGGATTGTGGAATTACAGTTCCCCTTTTTACAAATGATCCCGATGAATCAGGTTCTTTTATTGCAAAACCTGAATATGATGCTAAGCCATCAACTAATTTCTTTAATCGAAGATCATTCGGATTAGATTTATATGGATTTGATAAATATTTTAGTAAGTGATAAGAAATAAAATATTATACAATATATACATACATGTTTAATATATAAATTAAAAAAAAATAATAATTTGTTCTTTTCCATTTACAAGTATTCGCGCCGTCAGACTCTCCAGCTCCATTTGACTTTTGTTCAGAACAGGATCCCAAAAAATGGAAACCTTGGGATCCTAAAGATATGGTAAATGCATTAGATCATCTTGAAAAAGAAGTGCGAAGCTTTGGCCATGATGCAGCAAAAGTAAATTTGGTTTATTTATTTAATAATTTCATAAAAAAGACCAGAATTAATACTTACCTGTCTATTGTATTTAGTCACCCATATTCATTCCAGAATTGCAAGGTGGATGGTATACATCATATAAGTCAAAACATACGTTTGATGATATTTATAATTTTTATGGAGATAGATTTACTCGAATCGTTTATGATTCAGTTTTAGCACAAGGATGCACCATGCTTTCATTTTACATGGTCTATGGTGGGACTAATTGGGGAACATTGGGTGACATGTATATTTAGAATTTTTTTTAATTTGCAATTTTTTAAAAAAAATTTTATTACGAGTTGCTTATCCAATTTTGTATTTAGTGACGGAACTACTTCATATGATTACTCCGCATGTATACGGGAATCTGGTTATATATCAGCTCGGCTAAGAAATTTGCGTCTTGGGCTATTCTTTGCAAGAAGTTTTTCGGACGTCTTTGCAAAAACTGTACGCGTTAAAAATCCAAACATTAGAGCATCAATCAAGAATGTTTTCAATTTACAAAGACGAGCTGTGGTAGATTCAGGTGAAGAAAGTAATGCTGTTGTGTTTACTTTTCTTCGAAATTTTTCTAAGACAGAGAGTCCAAAATTCGAACTTTTTGTTAATTATATTGGAGCTCAAGGAAAAAAAGTGTTATTTGGCATGCAATGTTATTTACCATATAAGAGTTCCTTCATTGCTTTAGGTAATTATGTAACATCAACAGGATTGAAACTTATTTTTTCTTCAATACCTATTCATTTGAGGATTTTACATCCACCAAGTGGAAGTGATCCGGGAAGAGAGATATGGATAATTCCAGTTAATGATGGTGGAGAATTTGCATTTGAGGGCGAAATCAACGTAGATGGAAATCTTCGTTCATCAGTAAGAAATATTGGTGATTCTATTAATATTGTTTCATTTAATGATGGAATTGGATTTGCAAGGATCAGGCATGCGGAAGATTCAAAAGAACTTATTATATTAGCTCTAGATAATGATTCGCTTGGTACACTTCATGCAGTTTTTGATGAACCTCATTGGGCTCAAGCACATAATCGAGCATTTAATCTTTCTCATTCACCTTTAATAGTTAGTTGGGGGACACAGAATGTTTATTTTGATCTAGAAAATAACACCATTGAGACAGAATATGGAGAAGTTGAAAAGGAAATCACAATATTGTCCTTACGACAACTATCTGATCATACTCGTGTAGATTCGAATTCTTTCTATTCTCTTCCATTTATTTATAAGAAACAACTTAATAAACCTTCAGCTGTCCATACAACACCAGAATTATTTAATTGGAGTACACGTATCACAAATTTTTCGGATTTAGAATGGCGAGAAATTGATTTAAAGAATGGCGGAGCTGCTGAAAATCATTATGCATCAGGTCACGTTTTATATCGAGCAAAATTTCCATCCATGAAAAAAAACAGGAAAATACAATTAAACGTTAATATGCGACATAGGTGTACCATATTTGTTAATGGAAAATTTGCTGGAGGTCATATGACTTTTAGTAAAAATTTATTCTTTCCAGGAGTGAAAATGGGACCTGAATTATTTGCAAGTTTAGGAGATAAAAAATATGATATTACAAAATTCGTTAATGTTAATGAGGAAGATAATATTATAATTATATTAGTTGATAATCTTGGAATTAGCCGACAATCTGTCGTGTTTAATGATGCAAGAAATCCAAGGGGATTAATTTCAGCAAAAATTTCTGGTTTATCAAAGGTTAAATGGGAAATTTGTGGAGTTGATGTTAGAAAATTGGAAATACCATTTATTACGAGTGGATTTCCAGATGAACATAAGAATACAGGGTGGATTGAAAGTAGTAGTATAAGTGATTATGGGGTAATGCCAGATGAAGGGGTTAAGTGGTGGAGTTTTAAATTTAAACATCCTGTTGATCCAAAATATAAAGAAATTATAAATTCTCCATTAAGGTTGGTCCTATTCGGAGCTTTTACTTCATTTATATTTTTAAATGATACCTTAATTGGAAGATACTACGGAAATGGTGATTTTTCGCAACATAATTATTATTTAATGGACGGTTTATTAAAATTTAATGAAGAAAATAAAATTACATTAATGGTATATAGTTGGGAACAGGTTCATAGTAATGATATTAAAGTTGAAGTAAGAGGTTGGGAAATTGATGATGTGAATAAATCTGGCAATATTATTGAAATACCAGAAGATGCTAATGATGATCATAAATCTTGGGTTGTTATGAGAGAAAAGATTAAATTAAATTAACGACTTTGTATAAATAACAACAAGTTATTTGTATAATTGAATATTTGATATTTAATAATTTTGACATTTAATATTTTTAATATTTTTAATATTTGTAATTTATTATTATTATTTATTATGTAATTAAATTATTTTTAATCATTAATTGTAATATGATATGAATTTGAATTATAAAATTTAGCTCCAATTTTTTGCAATTTCTACGTGACACAACAAACTAAGCCATACTATTCTCTCGGATGATACCAATCTTGTCTCATAAAGATATCATCATAACATCCGCCTCTATTGAAAGGAGCGATGTAGCCGATTCAGAAGCAGGCTTTCAGGCTTTCTTCCATGCAATGGATCTAACTATTAGTAAGAATTGCATCGATCTTTTATCATCACAAAAACACTTTTGCTCGATAAGAGTCAAAATATTTAAATCACGGAATTAGCAATCTGTTACGCCTCCACAAATGAATGTTTGTTTTTGGGTATCCATAAATTGGCATCATCTAAACAATATTATGCTTTGACTTTTTGTCCATGTTGATCCGATATCTAAAAATTCCCGATCTCTTTCTCAAGTTGAGGTAGAATAGGATGTAGGCGCGAAACCGAGCGAGAAAGGAAAGGTATTTATATTCGTGGAATTTCGTATAATATCAGATATTATAAATGCTTATTAAGAATTAATTATTTTGTTATAGTAGAGTACCTATATTACTTCATTATATTTCCTTTCAGAAATTCAGCAAAATCGGCAAAGTTTCCAGCACACATAACGTGCGTTATTTTCATGTTTACGCTTTGGTTTAGTCTTTTTGCAGTTCCTTCTTGGAAGTTCGAATGTATTTAGATTCGAGGATAGAAACATAATGCATATTTTATAGAGACTGTAAAACTAAATAGTTTAGTTATCGTAGAAATATTATTGGTTCTAAAGAAATTGTGTAACTATATATTTTTTTTATAGCTAATAGTACCCAGATTTTCGAGATTTTTCGCATAATCTACAATTGTCTTCTCCAGTTTCTAATTTATGTAAATAATAAGTACAGTATACAATTGTAAGTAATTAAATAATAAAAACTCCACTCCTATATTTAAATCAACACGTGATAAGTCTATTAACATAAATTTATATTTTTTAGCTAACCGACTATTGTTATAATGAATCGACTTTCAACTGAAGTATTGGAACAGGTCTTTAGAAAATTTAAAGACGATTTTCATGCATCAAAACATGAATTATCTGCAGCACTTGTTAATCGAAAATGGTGTAGAATAATTGTTCCTATAATATGGGAAGACCCTTTTGGATCGACTGACTTCCCTGATAAACTTGTCAAAATCCTCTTATCACTTTTAGATGAAGAATCGAGATCATTATTGACTAATAAAGAAATTGATTTATCAAAATCACCGCCTTTTCAGACGACGACTTTTGATTATGCATGCTTTATTAGATCTCTTCAATTGGATAAGATGTATGATGGAATCCGAAATTATCTTATTACTAATAATCAGTTTGATGAAGAAGAACTAATCGGGAAGTTCAAAAAAACTGGATTTATATTTCATGAGATAAGCTCATTAATATTAAGACGAAGTAGTCTTATCGAATATATACGATCAGTATATCCATACAGTATTGATTATGCTGTTATTGTAGATGATATCAATTTGATTCCGTACATGACTAATGCGAACAAATGTTTAAAATATTTACGCGTTGTCATTACTTTTGGCGGAGATTATTCTAAGTTTTATTCTGGATTGTTTACTATTTGTAAAAATTTAATTACTATCATAACTAGTGTTACAACATTGGAATCTGCCAATTCACTTGCAACCATAATCCGAGCACAAAATTCGCTGAAAAATTTATCTGTTTTATTCAGTGAAAAATACTTAGTTGGATCAGTTTTAGAATCTCTTTCCAGTCAAAAAGATTCACTTATTAATCTTACAATGAATACTTGTAATTTCGATACTATAAGTGATGATGCATTGAAGTCACTTGTAACTTGCAAAAAATTGGAAAGGCTTGTATTGGAACGTTGCATTGGATTAGAAAAGGAAAGGTTTAATTCTTTATCAAGATCATTTCCTTTGTTAAAGGAGATTATATTTTTTTATAAACATGATTATAATTATTTTCCAGATGACTTTATAATTGGATTGATCCAAACAGCTAATGTTAATCTTCGAAACCTTGATTTTGATTTTTATTCATGTAGAGTAGTTAATGCTATTTTAAATTATATTCCAGAATTCGATCAATGTCGATTATATGATTATGAATTTAAATCCCATAATGATTTAAAAGAATATGAGAACAATCAAGTTTTCTATGAAACTAGCGATGATAGTAATGATAGTAATGAAGAGGAAGAAAGTAGCGAAGCTGAGAATGATTAAGTTAGATCATAAAGAAGCATCAAACGACAATTATATTAGCATGTTAATTTTTTTTAGATTGAATAGAATAGAAATATTTGTTTCTTCAATATATACTTTTTATTATTAGTTCAATTTAAGGATGTAATACTAATACATCACAATTAAATCATTTGGAAAAGTCTACTATAAAACTTAACTTGTAAATTACCGATTAAATACTTAATATTAAAACTAATTATTACTATTTTGACAAATAAATATAATTTTTAATTTTACCCCTAAATCCCTACCTTGTAAACTAGCGGAAATGCGGGATTACTAAAGAATCTCTTTACTTAGTAAACTAACGGAAATGCGGGATTACTAAATACTAAAGTTGATCCAATAATAATTATAAATAATAAATACCGCATAACGACAATAAAAACAAACAAACAAATTTAGGTAAGACTTGACGCTCATAGTTCCACAATTTATGTTCGCTGGGTTTTTTTAATAATGAAAACCAAAGATTGAAATATAACATAAAATACTAACTTTTTTAGAAAAGAGCTAATAAAAAAATAAGATTATCATTTTTTATTTATAGAAAAGTTTCGAAACGCAAATAAATTTTTTTAATTAATTAATAATTTTAAATTAAAAATGTGTTATTTCTTGGATAGAAACAAATGAACACATGTAAATCACACAATCGGAATTTTAAGTCCGATTGAAAATTGTATGGGGAAGCGATCGTCTTATCGTCTTCTTATCTGTTGTAATCCCGGCGGTCAATTGAATGAATAAAGTTATTTTTACTTAAAATACTAGTATTAGATAACATGAAAAATGTATTATTTATTTGCCTTTTTTGTTAGTTAATATCCAACATCCTCTTTTTTTTTTGGGCCTAGTTTGTTGGGTTGATTGGTCAATCAATGTAACTCATTACGAGTACAAAAACAGTTTGTACTCATGTACAATACTGTGGGCAGGTTTGTGGCTAATTTATAAAATAAAAATTCCCCTTTTTTTTCAACTGGATTTTTTTTCTTTAATATTTTTCTTTCATTCACACATATAAATATACAATGTCTGAACTTCATCGAAAACTTGTAATAGTTGGTGATGGTGCGTGCGGGAAGACATGTCTTTTAATCGTATTTTCAAAGGGCACATTTCCAGATATTTATGTACCAACAGTATTTGAAAATTATGTTAAAAATATAACAGTGGATGGAAGAAATGTTGAGTTAGCATTATGGGATACAGCGGGTCAAGAGGATTATGATCGTTTAAGACCACTTTCTTATCCTGATGCTCATGTAATTTTAATTTGTTATTCTATCGACTCTATCGATTCTTTAGAAAACATAGAAGAAAAATGGTATCCAGAAGTGAAATCATTTTGTCCAAATTTACCAATTATTCTAGTTGGAAACAAAACAGATTTAAGAAATGATCAAAATGTGAATAATGGATCACGTAGACTTGTAACTATTCAAGAAGGAAAACGAGTTGCTGATAAAATTGGAGCTGTTCATTTGGAGTGTTCTGCTAAATTTAACGATGGTGTTAATAACGTTTTTGAACATGCTGTAAGAGCGGCTCTTCGTAATGTTGATGAATCTACGAGTGATTGTTGTTGTGTAGTTTTATAAAAAGAAAAGTTGGTTTATGAATCAAGAAAAGAAATAAGGGGGAAAAAATTGGGAAAAATTAGATTAGTTTATTGAATTTTGAATTTTTTTTTTTTTTATTAATTATATATAAATATATATATATATATTCTTTTATATACATTTTAATTTCTTCTTTCTGTAAGTTTTATCCGATGTATTGTAAAATTAGAAATTAATTTTCCGGAGATTCTTTTTTAACCGTAGATTTTTTTTAAAAAAAATTTACTCTTTAATTTGAATTAAACCACTGAATACTGTGTTTTTTTTTTTATTTTTAGTCTTTTTCAATCAAAAACTTTCGTTCAATAACAACTTTTTTGGTGTACATTTTTATGACATCACTGTACGTAATACGAACATGACCAATAAAAATTCGTTCGAAACTTCGAATCTTATTGAACTGTAAATTCTAATGTAAATTCTAAATTCGTTTTATCCGTTGGTTAAAGTATATGCATGAGAGATAATTCGGTTTATCTGTTGGTTGAAGTATATGCACGAGAGATACTTGTCGAATTATCACTGGATCGTGAGAAAAATAAAATTCTTTTTAGGGAATTTGTATCAGAAATATTATTATTACTTGACTATTATAGTTAATTTAAGAGAAATTTCTATAGAAGCCGTCAAAGAAAAAAACAAAACGGTTGAGATCAGATATACCGACCGAATATTAACGCCTCCACAGCCTAATTGAAGTCACGTGATTACCAAAGGAAAAGTCTAGATTAAGAACTTTAGAACCAATTTCAGAAATTCTTAATTTGTCATTTTTCATAGTCGAGAAAGAATTGACATTGTTGATCGTTAATTGTCAATTTTGAATAAACTTTTTCTAAATTATTTATAGCTAATATCCACTCATATTTCATTTCACAACATTTTTTATTTAATAATAAAGCATTATATTTTTAGGAGCCGGTTAGACATGATGATTTCCGCCACGTTATATCTGATCATAAATAATTTTTTAAACGTCATATCTCATGAGATCGAACTATAAATTATTAAGTTTCACCCGTTCGATTTCTAAAAAAAAAAATATTAAACGTTTCACATGTTTTACAAGTTTTAAAGTTTTAGGGATTGTTATTTAAATAGTAATAATTTTTGTTCCGGACTTATAATGATTTTCCCATTTTCCTTATTCTTTATTATTCGCAACTAGCCGATTAACTTTAAAAACTTCGTGTTTTATTATAAAAATTGCGTGGAAATCACTATAGATAGACTAGTGAGTATGCGAAGTATCTGTTGTATCTTCTGCGGGAAGCGTAACTTTGATCACGTTACTCTTTACATATATTGACAAATCATATGATGATATATTTTTTTGATCTACATTTTTAAAAATGATTTTTATAAATTAATTTACTTTAATTTTCTTCTTCGTTTTCCTTTTTTTTTTTTAAAAAAAAAAAACTTATCTTTTTACCATGGAACCACCAAAATATGATGGAACAATTCACCCAGAAGAATGGATTAAACAAATTCAACTGTTTTGTTATTTAAGACAAATTACAACTGACCAAGAAATATTGAAAATATGTAAATTAGTAATTGATCCTAAAATTAATATTTCACATAATATAAATACCATTGATGAATTAATAAAAGCTTTAAAGCAAGATATATTTTTTATAATATCTAAAGATGATGCTAAGAGAAAATTATCTTCTATGAAATATATTTCAGAAAACGATGGTGGTGATCACATTAAATTTATGAAAGAATTTCTTACATATTGTTATAATGCGGAAATATATAAAGAAATTAATGAAATGAAGAGATATTTATGTAAAACTTTAAAAGAAAGTCGATATTTACAAAAGGAATTTGTTAATCGAGTAGAAAATATCGATTCAACAAATGAATTGATAAAAAACTTTGAAGATATTGTTTTTAAACAAACGTTGATAAAATATGGATCTCGCGTTGCTTTAAGACACGTTGCTACCGGGAAATATTTAACGAGCATAAATAAAAGTTATGAAAAATCACAAAAACAAATAGTACGTAATAATTTTGTCCCTATTTTTTTTTCATGATTTTAAATTATTTTAATTATTTTATTACTTTTTTTTTCTAAAGGTATTTGCGGGCAAATCTTTACCGACATCAGATTCGACATGGATTATTACATCTATGGGATGTAAAAAAAATGGTGATATAGTCGAATATGGAGATTATAGAATTGGTTTGATAAATGAAGAAACAAATAAAGCTCTCTTTGATACTTCTACTAATGGTAATCATAATAATTAATAATAATACTATTTTGTATATATATATATATTAGATATTATTAATCTAATTAAATCATTTTAAAATTACAGCATATTGTGATACTATTAATAAAAGTACTAGTTTTTATTGGTACTTTCAAAATTTAAAATCAAAAGAAATCAATTCATTTGTCGAATCACAAGACATCATCAATATTGTTTATTCCGATATAGAAGAATATTATTTACTTAGTCATGAAGCCACATTTAAAGTTGGTAACGAAACATTTCAAGAAGTTGTCTCTAGTGAATATATTGAAGATAGCGAAGAGCCAAATTATGAGGTAAAATGAGAATGATTATAAAAATTTATGTATAATAATAATTTGATTTTTATTCTAATAATTTAATTATTTTTTTAAAAAAAAAAATCATAGTGGTGTATTGAACTTATTAAGTAACTTTTAAATTGGTCAATTTTTTTAAAAAATAAGTTGTTAGATCAGCCAAAATGTGTTGATTATCAGATTAAATGCGAACGGGTGTAATAAAGTTATGAAATTCTCTTTATATACATATATCGATATATATATATATATACATAAATTTTTATTTTCTAAGTGTATTCCTTTATTATTTAAATGACCATAGTGTTGTAATTTTCTAATATTTCTAGTTCTATTTTTATTAATTAATAAGTGAAAAAAAAATAACTTTAAGGATGTAAATAAAATTATATTAAAGCAGTATTAAAGCCCATCGTTATTTTTTTCGAACATGAGATTACGTACAATAATCTCAATTCTTTAAAGGCGGTGAAAAAAAAACCTTCAATTGATCTTCAGATCATTTATTTAAGTTAACATGTTGGATATCACGTACATAAGAGGTTATATTAGTTCCGGATTTATTGATCTATGATCTATATGATTAATTATTCAATATTTCTTTATTTGTTTAAATTAAATTTTAAATAGAGTGTGAACACTAGCTAAATTAACAACTTAATTTGTGGAACAAATTGAATAAATTCTCAATCAACGAGAAGAAATTATGAAAATACCATTGATGATTACATTATTTAAAGTGATTGCACTCACTTATTAACAGTCGCGCTAATTTTTTAGAGAGAATCACATCTCGGAAAGAGGATGGTAACAATCATATTAAAATTATGAAGGAATTTCTTACTCATTGTTGAAGCGATGACTGCGATGTCAAATTGTCAAATTCTAAGTTACAAGAGATACAGTAGTTGCTAACAAGTTTGAAATAATTAAATAGAAATAGAAATAGAAATAGAATATAGAAACTGTGAAAGAATTCATAAATAAACGATAAAACGCGGATTCTTAATTGTTATCGGAAGTATTTGAGAGTGTTAAATTTAAAAATTTTATAAATAATCAACAAATAAATAAATAACATTTAGATAATATTATTTGATAAACAATTAAAACAATATTAATAAGATATATTATTGTCCCACAAAGATTTGAAGAGAGCTATAAAGTATGAAGAAAGTTAAGATTAGAATTATATAAAAGCTACTCAATAGGCCATATATGCATTTATTTTACATTCTTATTAATTTTGGATTACCATTCCTAACAATGATTATATCGTATAAGAGAATCTTTTGTCTATTTCTATCTTTCTAGGAGACTATATAATAAAGGCTATTATGCCGAGTTAGAGCATATAAAAAAATCACTGGGATAACCTTGGGTGATTGCCTCAAATACTTGGAATATAAAAGTCCCTTATATATTCTGTAACTTGAAACAAGGACTTGATATTTTCTAAACTAGCTTGCTGATTATATATTGGCATTCTACAGCATTTTTTATAAAAAAAATGTATGCATATATTTGTTCTAATTTTATATATGTACTGCATATTTATATATTATTTATATATCACCATTAGACTATTATAATCCAACAATAATTATTATGCTACTATATGGTAATATGATATAACCGATCAAAATAATAATTATGTTAAATCTACATAAATTTATGAGGATTGGAGTCATAAAGTTTTTATCTGTTTCATACAACACCTTGCAAAAACATTACCACAAAAGTACAAATCATAAATTAAGTTCATGAAATTATATCAGAGACATTTGAAAAATATATTATTTGTTAGACAAAATATCGGTTCTTACGGTTAGTTATCATTATGATATTTTTGATCTAGTAGATGGTACCGGTAAAGATTAATTGATTAATATCTAACAAGTCAACAATTCTTTAAAAAAAAAAAATTAATATTTACTTATAAACTCGTTTATAGAAAATCACGTGATTTATGCGTTAAACTATAATCAGCATGTTTAAATTTATGAAATGTTTAGATAACGCCAGAATTTAGTGTAGGAATAGGTTGCCTCACTTTAAAGAGGAGTTTATTTAAGATAAATTAAAGATTATTATCGCTTCTGATGATAACTCTAAAAGATGAACAAATAAATGAAAATCTTGCTACTAATCCAACTACGATTTGTATTTTGTACTGGTGGTAAATCAAAATGATGCAAATTATATTAAAGATTGCTGTTTAAAGTAAAATTTCGCAAAACTCTCATTTTTTTGGTGGCTAATATTACTGATAAGTTTGAAATATTTCGTATTTATGGCTGAGTTAATGTTCAATTTTAGTAGTTGAAAAGTAAGGTACTAAGCCTGCTTGATTTGTGGGAATGTACACAACTATGCATTCCATGCGGTCAGCAAAGAGAATTGTTAAGACTTTGGCATGAGAAAAGATTATTAGTGAATTAATTAAAATTTTGCGATTAATTTTTGCAATTGAATATATAGTACAGTCGGTTATAGGATGAAAAAAAAATGAGCAGTTTATTTGGTTCTATCTTTGGCACGCTTGGCGATCTCTTTGGCAATTTCCTTCCTTCTTAGGGCAGTAATACACATTCGGATGATATAATTCCACATCCCGAGTCACTTCTACTAGATGGTATTTTATAGAGAGCAATCAAAAAGCAATGAAGTTGAATTTCGATAGTATAACATACTGAAGAAGCTCATAAAAGTATACAAATGAGTCTATTGCAATTTCTTTTGAAAGTAATGGTCTTATTGATATGCGCAAGATTGGTACTTATGCAGCTACTTTATTGCGTTTATTTCAGAATGTTACAAAAGGTCTATTAAAAGCAAGTGGCCCTTAACTAGTAGCGAAGAGCTTTGGATTTCTAAAGCTTTTATTGGATCATTAATTTTGGCTGAGAAATATGAAGGTAAAGCGATATAATTTGATGTTAATGAGTTTTATCCTTCACTTTTACTACAAAAAGGTGTACAATGGCCGGTAAGTTCAAAATAATTACAAATCTTAATAATAATTTGTAATATGGAATATACCGAAGGATTACCTAAAAAAAGTGCAGCTCAATGTTCTGAATTCTTTAGGTACAATCAAGAGGAATCTATATGCATTATGATATAGAAATCGCAAGGAAAAATGGACTAGAGGAAACTAATAAATGAAAAATTCTTATTTTAATAAAACATCGAAAAGGAAACATTTATTAGTATCATTGTGCGGTATTTTATGTGAAAATCCACGAAAAAATGGTAAAGTTGGTTCTCATCGTCGTATGAAGCCATTCATTTTAGCCCTTGGTCGCAAAATAATAACCGAAATAATTAGACCCCAAAAAGTTAATATAAAACGCAATTATACATATAATTAGTGTTAATTTAGTTGGAGTAATACAGAAAAAATAGATACTAATTTTCTCGTTAAACGATAAAAATAGAAAAGGAAGTTGTCCTGCCTAATGGAATAATTTCGCTAGTGATAGATTATTGTGACAAGATATATCCAGGAATGCAAATGTATATCAATATTATGGAATAAATAATGTTAAATAGTGTAATAGGAGTTAAATTTAACGCAAAAGTTAGACAATTATCATGTAATATTGTAACATTCATCAAATTTAGTGGAAAATAGCAATAGACCGCAAATTTAAAACACCTGATATTTATTTATTGCGGAAATTACATAAAATCATTACTCGTTTGCAAAAATCTAAAGTCCTTAGAAATAATAAGATCATATCAAATAAACCGCAATATTTATTTAAAATCCGATTCTATGTCCTAGTTTAGAAAATTAGCAATTATTCATTGCTCACGTATAAATAAAGAATCAATCGAAAAATTGAGAATACTATATCTGTTATTTAAATTACTGATAAGAAGATTACTGAAGAAGGATGCTCTTAGGAGGTAGTTCAACACCATAAGAGCTCTTCCCTAACAAATCTACGCTCAGGTCCACCAAGTAACTTATAAAGGAATGGCTGATTTTTTGTACACGAACTTCTCCAATATTGTAAACTTCAGGACTCCAGTTCAGATCCGTATCTCTCCATTTAGGTCTGCCTTCAAGTTCACCATATTCAAGAAGGTAACGGACATTATCATTGTAGGATAAAATGTGGTTCATCATATCCAATAGGTCTATCATATCTACAAGAAGATTTAGCGTAAACTTTCTTCTTTTCTATTGCTTCTGCAGATGTCATACCTATTAATCTTGTGATCGAATTATTGAATTTTTCATCTTTTACATGAAGATATTTAACTCAAGTTCTACATTGCTCTTCAGGAGTGGTCTGGTTTCAACAGCATCTTGCATAAGAAAAAAGTGTTATCCTGCAATTAAGTGATCACGTTCGATAATACTAACACCTTGTTTAGATTTAGCATATTGTATTTTTACGCTATTATTAGCACATTAATTCTTTACACTTACCCATATACCCTTCCCTTTATTAATGATTAATAAGTTAAGCCTTGTCAGAAGGCATAGGTGTAGTGATATTGTTAAAGGATGCATATGTAATTTAGATCCCGATCACTATCAAGATTTCAATTCACTATATGGACATTTCTTGTCATCTATGGAATCATAATCATAGATTCTTTTCTTGATTTTATGTTGATATAGAGCAGTTTCTGAGTTTTTCTCGAAGATATTTAAGGGTAAAAAACTCATATATAGAGCGTAATAATAATCAGTGTTGAAGAATTGCGGTGTAAAGAGTCTACTTAAAATTAATTCTATAATTAAGAAGCATGAGATCCAAATGAAATCTATTCAGGTAGAAAGAATTGAAATATAATTGGGGAAATATGTAAGCATTATTCACTTAATGATATAGCTTATAACCATCTTTTATGTTAAAATTATGCTTGATTTGATGTAGAATATTATGAGACTAATGGATATGTCTGTAGTTTTGTTTGTATTTTTTATAAGAAATATTAAAATCGCCTATAATTATTATGTGGTAATTCTTGTTATGAGCAGATTCCAATAAGTCAAAAATATATTAATGAATGTCTTCAATATCTTTTCTATTATTGATGATGGAAGCATGAAGATAAATTTGTATAATCTTTAATTTTCATAAAAAGATTCATGTAATAGACATAACCTTCGTAACCATTGTATTTGTGAATATATTTATTATAATCATTAGAAATGATTATGTCAACACTCAACACCCAATCCTATTGGAAAAGCTGAATCATTGTCAAAATAAGTAGTATAATTAGGTAAATAGTTGTAAACAACCTTAGACTGAGATTTGTTGATTTTAGTTTTGGATAGGCCTAGAATAGAAATGTGGTTTAATTTGAGCATTTCTATAACTTGTTTTTGTTTTAATGTATAATTTATATCTTGAATATTTAAAGTAGCAATACGAAAGAAATGTATAAATAAAGGGGGAGAATTAAAATTATTATTATTTAGTTGTATATTCATTATAAAAGTATATTAAGAGAAGATGTAAAAAAAATCAAAATAATAAATGAAAAATTAATGATGAGAAAGCCCTTCAATGTTGGTATCTTTAAAGGTTTTATTATCTTCTTAAATATTATCATCATCAGACGCTCTCTCAAGTATTACCGCCTTTATTAAAAATGATACTTTTTTTGACATATATTTGTAGTATTTCTAAAGCCTTACAAAAACCCTACAAAAATATTTTGTAATGTATTACAACCATGTTATCTAGGCTTATAATTTCATCTCAACATGCTCGTAATTATTTTTTTATGGTTTTGTAATACATTTTAAAATGGATTTGAATTATTTAAGCAATAGTTTTATAATGATTTTGTATTATTTTTTTAATTAGTCTGAATAATCATGCAATAATTTTGTAACGATTTTGTAGTTTTTAATTAATATTTTATTAATCGTGCAATCTTTACATAATATTATTAACTTATTATTATATTATATAATTATATTACCAAATTTTTCACGTCCAAATACTCCAAGAACTGGTCTACAAAAAAAACGATATGTTATAATGTTAGTGATCGTTTCATTAAAATAATATTAAAAAATATATTCCGTCCCTTACCAAAATTTACGCATCCAAAATCTGAAAAGCCGGGATTAGAAACCAAGATGGATTCGTCTACAGTTTCATCTTGGACTAGTGGTGCCGGAACACATTCAAGGATATTTAAGGGAATCGTCTAAAAAAAGATAAAAAACAAAATGTTAATATAGTACTGTAATTTTGTCAAAGAAACATCTAAAGGTGGTTTAAAATTTTTAACCTAATACCTTGTGTCTGTTGCATAATCCAAAATTTGGTTTCAGTCCATCATCTAATACAAAACTGATTAGCCGACCATTTGTCTGCACGTTCTCTCTCTCTTTGTGAATGGGATGTAGGCGAATGAGATCTTGAACGCCATCTAGGTGAACATGATGATGAAAAGCAAATACCATTCAGGTGAACGTGATAGTAGTTATTTCCAACTGAAAATCTACTACACTTTAGTTCATCTAAAAAAATGAAACAAAATGTTAGAAAATATTTTGTTAAATCTGGTTACTGGAAAAAAGCTTCAACTTTACCAAAAATCCACGCTTCTGAAGATCCGAAGTACTAGCCCTCTAAAAAAGAAAAAATAAAACATTAGCACGTTCCGTTAAAAAGAAATTAAAAAAGATACTAGTAAAAAGGCTAACACTTCACTGAAATTTCACGCATCATCTAAAAAAATAGAAGAAAATAAAATGTCAATAAACGTTTCGTTAAAATAATTAAAAAAAAATTTTTTTTTGTGGTTCCCATACTTAATGTTGACGCCTCAACTGTTCAAAATCTTGTATGTCCAAATACCCCAAGAAACTGAGTGGCCATATTTCCATTAATATATCTATACGTACTATACTCTCGCAATAAATACGAAGCCTGGCAGCCTAAAATAGAGTAAAATAAACGTTAGTAAAATGTTTTGTTAAAGAATTAAAAAAAGTAAGCATCTTACCAAGTTTTTACACGTCCGAGAAGTTGAAGAACCAACCATCTGAAAAAAGAAATATGATGAATATTAGTGATCATTTGTTTGTTAAAAGAAAAATTAAAGAAAAACTTGCAAAATTCGCGTCCAAAGATATATATCCATGGAAACCGATCGAAGAGCAAGCCATCTATAAAAGGAAAAAAAAAGATAGTAGCCATTTGTTAACGTCAAAGAAGAGAATTTAAAAAAAATATCTTACCGAAACCTGCATCCAAAGAGCTGAAAACCCATCTAAAAAGTAACAAAAAAATGAAGTCGTTAAGTTAATGTTACGTTAAAATAAAAAGGTTTAAGAATATAAAAAAAATACCTCTCCTACCGAAATTTACACATCCAAGAACCCGCCTGCCTAAAAAAAAGAATAAATCAGAACGTTAGGATAAAAGAATAAAATTTAATAAAAAAACTCTTCAGAATCCCCTACCAAAATCTACGCGCCCAAGAACTTGGTTGTCTAAAAAGAATAAATCAAAATATTAGTAATATTAGTATAACGTTTTGATAAAAGAAAAAAAACTGAATAAATCAGTCTTCAGAATTCCCTACCAAAAATTTACGCGTCCAAGTACCTGGTCATCTAAAAAAGAATAAATCGAAATGTTAGTAAAACGTTTCACCAAAAGAACCAAAAGAGACAATTCAAAAATATTTTCGAGTCTACCTATTAAAATACTACGCAGGCATCCAAGGAGACTGAAGAGCCAGCTGTCTAAAAATAGAAAAAAAAGTTAGTAATGTACTCGTTCGTTAACGTTAAAGTAAATAATTAGAAAAAAAAATATCTTACTAAAACCCGCATCTAAAGAGCTAAAGACTACCTAAAAAATAATAAAAATGAAATCGATAGGTTATGTTACGTTAATATATAAAGTCTAAGAATATAAAAAACATACCGTAATCTGCACACCTAAAGACCCCGAAAAAGCCACCTAAAAAACTGAAATTTCGTTAAAAATAATTTAAAAAATCACGACATTCATTCATTAAATTAAACTAAAAAAAGAATTACCAAAGTCCACGCGTCAAAAAAAAACTTCATTGTCTTTCCTTGTCAAAATCCCACATTTCAAAGATCTGAGGTACCGTATCTAGAGATGGGAATCGATTATCGAATCTTTGTAGATTCGATTTTTTGTTCCTTAAAAGATAATCCATTCTAAGCTTTGATAATTAATTCCATGATCAGTAAATATATAAATTCTGAATTAAAATTGTAAAATCTATTAAGAAATTATATATCGTTACTAATATCCAACTGATAACATCATTGCCGATCATTGCCGATCATTTTGTCATTTTTAAGTTTTTGAAGGGCATTATCGATCAATTTTTCTTTTTTGAAAATATTTTAAATCATGCACTTTAATTTTGGATGCAATGCTAAATTAATTTTTTTGCTTAATTTCAATTTTCTCTTTAACAAATGAGATTCGATTTTGATTCGATTATCGATTCCAATCCCTAACCGTATCAGCTATCTAAAAGAACGAGTTACCTAAAGTTAAGGTAAAAATGGAAAAATAAAATTCCAAAGTTCGTTAACTTTTTTATTAATAAAATTCTTTTAAAAAAGCCCAAAACCCACACATTTTTTTGCTCTCTTACCGATTCCCAAGCGTTACAAGGATAATAAATATAATATTTTGAAAATATTCCATTTAATATCATTAAAAAAATCCTTTGAGTAACTTGAAATACTTCATATTCTATTAATAATTTCTTTTTATTTATATGAATAATAAATGTTGCTTGTTTTGCCAACTATATTATGGCTAAAGGCCGAATGATTAAAAAAAAGAAAATTATTATATAAAACGAAAAAAAAATAAAAAAAATCGAAAAAATAAAAAAAAACTCACCCAAGAGCACCATTTGCGAGATGTTCGGTTTTCTTAATTTCGAACCGTTGGGAACTTTGTTCATTTCTTTAATTTTTGTCAGTTGTTCATACTCATAGCTCGTTAACGTCACTGTTGTGAAAAAAGAAATTAACAAAGGAGAGGGTGGGAAAGACGTTAAGCTTTTAAAAGAAGATTATCCGTCATTGAACTGCGCCTATCAGTTACACGTGACATTAAAAAGGGTCGATACTTTTTATTTTTGAAAATTGTTATAACGCGAAATTAAAATTTAAATATAAGCTATTTAAACTATTTTTAATCACGAATAAACTATTTTTTTTATTTTTTTCTTTTACTCAAAATTCTGCGATTACGTTTTTGATATACTTAACCATCACAAAACGACAAAACAACTAAAAAAAAAAATATTTTAATATTTAATTAAAATATTATTACTTTATACTTTTATTAGCAATGTGGGTTTTTTAGTATAAACTGACTTGAGGTTAGAGGTCATAAGCTATCCCACCAGCTGGCAAAGTGTATGAAGTTTCTTTTAATTCAAAAATAAAGCCTTACTAAAGTCATCTTTAGTGTAGGTCTAGTAATACATTGCCTTAATTGAGCGCGGCTACGGAGTTTATGATTATCTCTTTGTTTTATTATTTTTAACGATAAGGATGTGAAGTTTTTCGCTATAAAATGTATTTCAATTTAAATTACATAAATACTTCTGAAACACTACCAAAACATTAAAAATATATGCTAAAAAAGTGTCATTTTTAGCAAAGGGAGACAAGATAGTTAATCTTAAAATCTTCATCATGCATTCAAACATAAATAAAATAATTAAAGTTTCACATGTAGTAGAAGATTTGGTTACATGAATTAATTCCTATTTTATCCTACATAATAAAATAAGGACGAGATACAAAAAAAAAAAATTTTTTCTATTGTTCTCTGCTGGTGCAAAATTTTGTACCAAAACACAAATATTAATTTTTACTTTTTTGTCTATTTTTATTATACTTAATATAGATGTAAAGGTGCGAAAAAAAAAAAAATTTTTTTCTATTGTACTCTCTGCTGGCGCAAAATTTTGTACCAAAACACGGTGTGTAACAAAAAAAACTGGAATATCATTCATTTAATAAAAATGCGTAAAATAAATCTGATTTTCTTTGCATAAATTGAATAATAAATAAACCTATGATCAAGATCTATATTATGATTCATTATTTTTTGAAAAATTTCGCTGTAAATATTTACTTTGAACAGAAAAATATAACAAAAAAATAAATTAAGATTACAAAGCATTTGTATATTGAATTTAATTAAAAACATTCAAATATTGTTTTGATACCATTTCGGTATATAATAAAAAAGCAAAAAATTATTTAAATTACAAAAATGCGTGTAGTTCGCTCAAAATAAGTCCAATTTTTATCATTTAAAATGCATAATAAATTTGAATATCAGGGCTACATTTTGACATCTTTCATGATCATAATGCTTTTTTACTTCTTGAGAAAATTAACTACAAGTGTTGATTTTTGAAGAAGAAATATAATGAATTTAGAATGGATACAAAGTCATTGAAAATTTCTCAAATATTATCAAGACCAATAGAAAAGTATAAATTAAAAAATTTTTTTTAACTATCTACTGCACTTTATGCAAAGAAATACATATTAATTCTAAATTAGTTATAAAAAGTTTTAATATAAATAAAAAAAATTATTATTATAGGTTTAATTATAATTTACCATTGATCATCATGGCGTTACGGACAATTTTTTAATTCCAATTTTTTTTGTTACACTGTTACATATATTTTTTTGTCCGATAAATTTGCTTGTCGGGAATATTTTTATTATGCTTAATATAAATGGTATAATTTAATAAAATAAATAAATTTTATAAACTCGTCAGTTTTTATAATAAAAGGCGCAAAAAAAAACATTTTTCGAAGTTTCACATGTAATAGAAGAAAAATTGATTAGCACAGATTCTAGTAATTCCTATTTTATCCTGCATAATAAAATAAGGACGAGACACAAAAAAAAAAAAAAAATTTTCTATTGTTTTCTGCTGGCGCAAAATTTTGTACCAAAACACAAATATTAATTTGTCCAATAAATTTTCTTGTCGTGCATATTTTTATTATACTTAATATAAATGGTAAAATTTAATAAAATAATAAATTTATAAACTCAGTCGTCATAGTCGTCAGTTTTTTATAAAAGGCACAAAAAAAAAAAATATTTTTCGTAAATAAAAATTCATTCACGTAATATCATGGATGAAAAAGAAGCTGAAACTCAAAATAATACTTTAACAATAGAAATTCCATCAGAAACGAAGGATGATATTTTTGATAATATAAAAGAACCTAGGAAAGAAATTGAAAAACATAGGAGATCAATTGATCGAATTTTTGTTTCTCAATACATGGATGATACTAGTACTTATAATGAAGTATATAGTTCAGATGATTATGTTGTTACTTATAGTAAAGAAGATAAATCATTTCTTGGATGGTCAGTTAACACTAAAAACAATGGACCACAACAACCCGATGTTTATTTTAAGGCTGATCAAATCGAAGACTTGAACTTACGTTTAGGCACTTTACTAAGTAAAAAAATCTTGTCATTATATGGTTATAATAAGCATTGTAGGTATTTATTTTAACTCAAAGTAATTTAATTTCATGTTTAATTAATAACTTATTTGGAATTATAGGGTTGATTGATTTAAATAGTGATCGTACTAATAATGAACGATTTCTTAAACTAAAACAGCCCGTTGATTGTGAAAAAAACATTTACCAATTTTTTTCAAATGATGCTATTGGATTCCTTCCTAATGATTTAATTCAAGTATCAGTAAGAAATCGCAAAATTTACAAGTACTGTTTAAAAGATAGACCAATAAATACAGTTCTTTGGGAATATTCTCAAATTAATGATATAGAAATTCCTGAAAGTTTATATGGTCAAGTTAAAAACTTGCGTTGTACTATATGTCGAACAAAGTTATTTCTAATTGTTAAAGGTTGTAAAACAACAATACTTCAATTTGATTTATTGAAAATGAATTTAGAAAGACAATACATTGCAAATGCAAATTCTCTTTCGAGTATGGTAGTAATGAATACAAATCAAACGTTATTGGCATATTATTGCTTCATATTTTCAATGAAAAATGGAATGTTGATTTCATATGAAAATTGTGGGTATTACTTTTACATTACATACAATATTTCTTTGTTACTGTGGATTTTTCATATATTCTAATTATAATTTATTCGCAGATGGTGAGGAACCGGTTGAATTCATAACTTTGAAAAATAATTCTGAAAGATTAGTCATGAATTGTTACTCGAACGTTCATAAACTCATAGATCCTTATCAAGCTTATGATGAAATTGATATTTCCAATGATTTTAATAAAACAAGTGTGATAACTAAATTAAACAGAAAAATTTTCATTGATAATGGTAATGTTTGTGTCAGAAATGGATCTGATGAAAATAAATTGCAACAATTATCAAACGAGGTCATATATAGAAATAGTATTTATACTTCATCTGTTTTTAATATTATACAAAGTATGTTTAAGGAAATCATTGACCGAGCGGACATTAAAAAGGTTGCATCACCTGATGATAAGATTAAACTTAAGAATAGAGATCTTTATGAATATATTCTTCGTCCTAATGATATTTATGATGAAATTTCTTTTGAACATAATGATATCATTTCGTGTTGTATTCCATTTCCTCATATACTCTCATATAAACTATTAAATAACCAGGATTTGATAATAATTAGTATGGAAGCAATCGAGATTTTTGCATTACTAGATAAAGGTTTTAAAAATAGATACTTTTGGAAGAATAATGATTGGAATGATATTTATAAAAAATTCGAAAAAGATCGTAACAGTATTTACGATATTAATTTTGTTAATGAGCACTACAAGCCACTTATTGGAAGAATTTTAAAATATGAATTTAATGATTCAAAAGACTCAATACCATTACCAAATTTTATGGGGCAAAATACGAATCATAGAAAGACAATAGCCGAAGATGTTATAAGTGATAATTTAGTATCATCAAAATTTGGTATTGAAATGTTAAAAATAGCAATTAAAGAAAATTGCGATAGTGTTGTTCGACCAATTATTAATAATACTATCGAATCAATTCAAAATTACTCCGTAAATAGCATGACTTTTATTAGTTTAAACTTACCAAAATTGTGTGATGATTATCCTGATTACATAATTAAATATATCTCATACACTTCTATTATATTATCTCCTTTTTGTAATAACATTAGAAATTCAAAAAATACTTCAATTCATTCATACACAAATATTTACATTAAAGAATCACATATGGATAAAAATGTTTTTAAGGCTATTTCATCAATATATAAATGGTTAATTCAGCATTTAAGGATAAAGGAAGAAATCCAAACAGTCAGTTTTATTGTTCCTTTTCCTCAAATTTGTGTATACCAAGATGACTCCAAAAATAATGATCATGAAAACCATGTGAATGAAAATAATGATCATGAGAACGAAAATAATGATCCTGAGAACTGTGACTTCAATAATAATGACTATGAGAGCCATGCCTCCAAAAATAATGATCATGAAAACCATGAGACCGAAAATGATGATTATGAGAATCATGACTCCAAAAATAATGACCATGAAAACCGTGAGACTGGAAAAAATCATGATATCAAATCAAAAATAAGTACAATACTAATACTAATACTAAAAAAAATGATCACAGGACTAAAAATAATCATGATGATACCAAAAAGTAATAGTATCTGGAATGAATTTTTATATAAATCAAAATCTATTCTGTTTTGTAATATAGATAGTAATCATTTTTATAATTGGTGGAATTTTGCTGCAATTATAGATTTTAAGTGGGAAACTTTTGGAAGAGTTTACTATTATCTGATTTGGCTATTCTATACAATTTTCTATGTTTGTTATTCATTAGCTTCTACATTAGAACTCTCTGATTTTTATTTTAAATTACTTCTTATAATTTCCATTATATTTGGCTCAACATTTTTAATTTTTGAAATTCGACGAATTTTATGGAATTATAAAATATATTTTAATAATGTATGGAATTTATTTGGTAAGAAACATTTATTTAATTGTCTTACATTTAAATGAAACTAATTTGGTTTAATCATTAATAGATGTAGGAGCATATCTTTTACCCGTTATAACATCCATTTTTTGGCTTATTGACAAAAGTCAACCACTTTGGCTTATGGCAATATCTATTATATTATTGAGTTTCAAATTTTTATTATTTTTTAGAGTGATTGAATCATTTGGAATTTATTTTGCTATAATTATTGGTGTTGCAAAAAGAGTTTTTCCATTTTTAGTGCTCTTATTTTTTATAGTACTTGGATATGCTCAAGCATTTTTTATTGTGCTAAAATCAAATATTACTAATGATGGTAGTGATAATTTGTTTAATTGGTTCCCCACTTCTCTTTTAGCAGTATATAAACTTATCACTGGTAATAATTTACTTTTTATTTATAAACCAATTTTTAAATAAAAACAAAATATTTTAATAACTTTTAATATAATTATAGGTGATTCCGGATCTTTATCATCATTTACTTATCGTGAATATCCTACTATGACCGTTTTATTGGTTACCTTTACATTTTTTACAGTAATCTATCTTATGAATTTATTTATTGGATTACTAAACTTAGCAATTGGTGATTATAACAAAAAAGAAGAATATTTACTTCAAAAAGCAAAGGTAACCTTTTTTTATATTGATAATTATATCAAATTTATTTTATTAACTAACACTTTATTTTCTTTAAAGATTATTATGGAGATTGAATTATTTTATATGTTACCATGGCAACGTAATAACAAGAAATGGTTTCCAAATTGGATGTAAGTATTGATTATACTGTATATAATCTGTTAATATTAAATTTTTTTTTACATTTTATTAACATAATTAACTATTTTAAGTTATTATGATTTACCTGTTACTGAGGCTCGTAAATTAATTAATGCAATTGATAACGAACAGACTGTATTTAATTATCCTCCACTTATCAGTGAGGAATTAAGAAATTTAGTGGTACTTGCTGATGATAATAATAAACTAGAAAACAAAATAGATCAAACAAAAGAAGAGCTTAAACAACAAATGGAATTTATTATGAAAAATATTGGAGTAGAAAAAGATAATGAGGAAGAACAAGACAGTGAGGAGAAAGAACAAGAAAATAAACTAGAGAAGCAAATGGAACAAACAAAAGAAGAGCTTCCAAAACAACATGTTGGACTTAAGCAACAAATGGATAAACATGCGTTACAAATGGATAAACTTGCGCTACAAATGGATAAACTTAATCAACAAATGGAAAATATTATGGAATTATTATTAAAAAGAAACTAAAACTTACAGTTTGTGGAGGACTTTGTCTCCACATGCAAATTTTTTTTGTACAACATCAAAAAGTGGTTTATTCGGTTTATAAATTATATAATGATTTAAAGGAACATTTTTTTTTATAAAATTGATAATGTAAAAAAAGCTTTCTTCAATAAAATTAATAAATATCTTTGCAGTTCTTTAAAATGATCGGCCTTTTTTTAACGTGACATTCGTGACATTTCCATAGCCTTGATAAAATTTTGATTGCCAAAAAATTATTTTCGTCATAAAATTTTTGGTAACTTCTTTTCTGTAAGAGAACGATTCCAAAGGAACCCAGACCAAGGTCCAGAATTTGTAAAAAAATATTTTTGACAGCTACAGAGTTTTATGACTGATGGAACAACTAAAACTATGGTTGTTTAAAACTAGAAAAACTAGAGTAAAATTTCTAAGTTCGTCCCATTGTTATTACATTAATCTCAGATTTTATAACGATTTCACATTTAATTTTTGTTTCTCATGTGACCTAATTACATAACATATACACGGTCTGCACAGGAATTTTGGAAAATATAAAACGGGAATTGCTAAACATCGCCTGGGTGATTGTCGCCTGGGATTTTTTTTTCGAATATATCACATGATGTATAATATAAAAAGTTTAAATTTATTTCTCTGATTAGCTATTTTTAATCTGATTTTTTTAAAATTTTTCGCTCGGCTAAACAAAATTTTTTCACTAAATTTTTTTGCAAATATATTTATTCAAATAATATTATGAAGTCTCACATTTACAATGGTATTAATAACCATTCATTATTTAAATAAAAAGTCACTGTATTTATTTTTAATGAAGCAATACAAATAAAAGAAACAATAACGACAAAATAAGTTACGAAATAACAATAAAAAGAAATGTGAGACAAAAAAAATAGAGAATGAAAAAAATAAGAGAAACAAAGTGTGAAAAAGAATAGTGAAGGATGAAAAGGAAATGAGAATAAGATGAAAAATGATAGAAAACGAAAAGTAAATGAAGATGACAAGGAGTAATAGGAAGTGATAGAAATGAAAACGAAAAAGAATTGTTGTGACGTGATTTAAGATCATATAAAAAATCATTTGCTATGTGTGAAATCGAACATAAATCGTACAATGTAAAATGATAGTAACGGTAAATAATGGTGAGATAAAGAGGAATAATGGGAGATGAAAAGGAATAATTGATAGTGGATGGAAGTCGAAAGAAGATAATGGAAAACAAAAAGAATAGGAAATGATTGAGTAATGAAAATAATAAAAGATGAAAGGGAGTAAAGGAGTAATGGGAATTGATAGAAAACAAAAAGGAAAAATAGGACGTGATGGGAGACGAAAAGGAATGAAAATGAACGAAAAGTAATGATGGGAAGAGAAAGGAGATAGTGAGAAGTGAAAAGATGTAATAGGAAAAGATGGGAGATGAAAAGTTTAGCAATTCCTAAAAAATTTTCTTATTTTCGTTTGTATATGACAAAGTGTAAATAAAATTTTAAATTTGAATTCATTTCACGAATTACATTTCTTTTAATACTTCCGTATTTTTCCTTGCTGTAAGGGTTATTACAAAGTTTGCAAATTGCAATATTTAAGAAAATTTATCATAAAAAAAAAAGTATAAATAGTTTATAACGTTATTTTTTAAAATCTTTTTATTTTTATTATAAAAGCTATTTATTTATGTAGATTTGTTTTTCGTTATAATGAAAGAGAATTCTATTTTTAATTATTCTGCCTCTTCTGCGTAATGTTAATTTCTAATTTTTAATTTTTTTTTTTTTATTAATAATACTTGACTACTTGACTACTGTATTTATAAATTGGTTTGTTTTACGTATAAATCAAAAGTATAAAAGTATTCCGAATGATATTGATAAAATGATAATCGATAATTTCACGCTATATGAGTAATATGACATCAACCAAATAGAGATTAGGATATCCGATAAAAATGGATATTTTTTTTTTAGTTGACGGGTATCCGGATGAGTATCACGTGACCCGGATACACCCGTTTACCAATTATTTTTTTTTAACGAAGTCAAAATATTACTTTATTAGGAAATAAGAAAAATTACAAAAAAGGAAAAGATCTACATTATATAACATTTAGTAAAGAACACGATCGAACTATACTATAACGTTATTAGGGACTTAATAGGACCGGGAAAACTACTAATAAAGGTCACCGGTTTTCTTGGTTCGAACCCATATTTAATTTTCAAAAAGGTCACCGTAAAAATAATTAATAAAAGTCACGTGTTGGTTCGCAAGAATAAGAAAATTTGAGTGAAGATCTTTCCTTTTTCTGTTTTTGGAGCGGAAACATGTGAATAAATAGCCAATTGACCAATCATAAGATGGTTCGCATTCATATGATTTTCTGATTTTTTTCCAGTGACCTTTATATATAGTTTTTCCGGTCCTGCCAAACTACTATTAAGATTCGAGTCAGTTGTATTTTCCGCCGCTTTATAAAGCATTTTGGTTCGTAATATAACCAGTTTTCCATTATATTTGTCACAATAACAAGGGACTTTGGTTCTTTTTTTGCTAAACCTTCTAGAAGATAGTCGGTTTGCTATCCTTTCTGAATTCATAATTTGATTAATCGATCTTCTTCTAGTCATGTTTTATAAAATTTGACAAAGAATTGGTTATAATTAATATGTACTTTAAAATTTAATGAAATTTTGACAAATGAAGTCAATTTTTCTCTTAAAATTAAAATTTTATGAAATTTTTTTTTTTAATTTGAAAATTTCAGTTAAATTTGATCCGTTAGTAATTGATTTAATAAAAGTTTAATTTTGAGATTTTGATTAATTAAATTTTCAATCATGAAATTTTTTTAATTTGAAAATTTCAGTTAAATTTGATCCGTTAGTAATTGATTTAATAAAAGTTTAATTTTGAGATTTCGATTAATTAAATTTTCAATTATGAAATTTTTTTTAATTTGAAAATTTCGGTTAAATTTGATCCGTTAGTAATTGATTTGATAAAAGTTTAATTTCAAGATTTTGATTAATTAAATTTTCAATCATNTGTGAATAAATAGCCAATTGACCAATCATAAGATGGTTCGCATTCATATGATTTTCTGATTTTTTTCCGGTGACCTTTATATATAGTTTTCCCGGTCCTGACTTAATACCATCCTGCACAGTGCACACCCAAATAGGTTCACTAAACTATCCACTATTCGTATGGACTTCGGTAATGTTATATGAAAACCCGCCACAACACCTTTAACTACTACTACAACGTGACAATAATAAAAATAAAACTACGAAACACTAACGTAATCAATAATATTATAGTAAACTATTGTATTACCCCAAAATAAATATGATTTTGAAGACTTTGTAGATTAAAGTATTTCTTATTTTTTGATTTACGTGTTTTGTCAATAAACTGCTCTTTACCAAAATGTTGTTATTTAACATTGTTTACCAATTAAATTTTTTGGATTATATTAGTTTGTGACTTAATTCTTACTTATACTCAAACTCGTGTTTAAGTCCGTGACTGATTTCTTTTTAACTCTTACTAAACAATTAATACTAATTAAATTAATTGGCTTTAAAATTTATACAATTGATACATGATATTGACGGATTATTTTCAGATATCCGCTAAGAAACCCATTACTGTAAAAAAAATCTTTTAGCAATCCGCGAAATTAACGGATGCTATCCGGATGCTATCCGGTTTATTTAAAACAGATATCCGGATATGAAAATTCTTAACGGTGACGGATTTTTTTATCCGGATACTTACCGGATACAATCACTACATATGGACGATAATTTTTATTAAATTGTTTTAATAATCAATATTTTTCGAAAAAATAAAAATTAATCTCAATCAATTACTTGTAGTTTTTTTTTTTTTACTTTAAGTCTTTAACATTAATTTTGATTCGAATTAAAAAAATTTAAATACTGTATATTCTAAATAGAAAATTTTTATATATAATTTTTAAAATATCTATCACAGAACAAATAAATAATAAGAAGATATACATCGCTGATGTACTGTATTTTTTAATTAATTAAAAGCTCGCATAAAAATCATGATTTACTTTCAATTCTTAAGAATGGAAAATGTCTAATGATATCAAATCCGGTGGACTGAATAATAAATATAAATATTACAATGTTTCTGCCAAAAAGAAACTTTTTATCGAAATGAAATTACGATTAGACAAATCACAAACACAATTCATAATATAGTAGCATTTAACAATAGTTATAAAAAAAAGACGTATTACCCTTTCCATACCGTTATTTTTTAACGGGCAGAACGAAATTCACATCATTTAATCCTAATAACCTGCAGGCGTCTTATACCATTTCTCTATGGACTAATATTAATTGATGAATAAAGTTAAAATAATGTTGAGAATGTTGAATTGCTTGTTAATAATTGAGTTTAAAGAATATGAACGTAACATTACTTGCCATATTTCCCAACCTTGATCTTTGAAAGGATTCCAGAAGAATCAAGTCCTGTAGTTAGCGATATAGACAGAAACAAGTTAACTGTAGAAATTTATAAGCCTGAGAGAGCAAAGAAATAATATGGTACTGAAATTGCATTAAATGGCCTAGGATCCGTGTACTTCCTCCTTCTTTGATAACAGCTGCCTCTATCATTTTCTAATTAGCTATATACCGAGCTACGACTTTCAACACGAGTTATCCTACAGACCTACAGATCAAAATTTTTATTGACCAGCGTTTTCGGATCGCAGAATTAGTAATCATGTAATATGTAGTCATATGAGCGGAAAAATTTTAAAAAGCCTACTATATTTTATAAAGGCGACTTTGTAAGAAGGTTTGACCATTTAGACCATTTCAAAGTAATCCATGCTAGAATTGATGCTAGAATTGAATTATATAGTGTAATGTTGTTTTAACTAATCAAATTATTAAAATTTGTAATTTACATGAATTATCTGTTGCCAAAAGTTTACATATAAGAAATAAAATTATTTTTAATTCTCGTTTAATATTGAGAAATAATTCTCGAAAATTAAAAACATTTCACTTATAATTAAGAACATATAATAAATAATTTAATGTGTTTAATTCCACAAGTTGGAAATTTCAAGTCAAAGAATGATGATATTTTAATAAAGATAAAGTGAGAATCAGGTACAATTTTGACGTGATTCTATTAAGAAAAGAGTTGAACTCAATGTTAAAACTTTGGTGACCAAATTAATTGTAGAATACTAATGATTTCATAACTTAGGTTTACAGCGATGCTATACAAGAAAACCCATACTTAATTAACGTTAATAATATTTTTTAAAAGGATTAAAATTTTAATATGTCACACGAAGTCATATACGGCATAAATGAAATAGATAGAGTGTAAAGTACTGTGATAGAAAATAAATTCAGTGATGTAAATTGAATTCGCGCAGTAGGCGCAGCGTACATTACTTTTATTTCCTGCGTATTTCGTTAGGCGGCATTTTTCTTAGTAGCGCCTATCATTATTTAATCTAATATATATATATATATATATTGTATATGAAATTAATAGGTTGTGATATGCGCTTTGCGCGTATAAGAATTTTATGAATTTATCACTGGATAAAATGTCTAACGTCTTTTTTCGCGTTTATAAATTTTGTCTCGGAAGGATATAAAATAGTAATAGTTTCCTAAATATATGTAAATCATGAAAAATATTTTCTTGTAAACTAAATTTGTGAAAGGTGAAGTAAGGGATGTCAAAAATAGTGTTTCAGGACCCCGAGTTATACTGTATATACATAGGTCAGGGAAGATCGGCACACATTTACTATTAGATCTACCCATTTCTTCAGGGCCGGCACTATGTAATGCTGGTCGGCATTATCCACAAATGGAAGCGATCTAGGCTCATTTTAATCAAAATAACCAGGACCTGACCTTTCTATGTATAGCTCGGGGTCCTAGTGTTTCAGTTACGCCAATTGATTTACAACAATATTTTCAAAGTTTCAATAGTTTACTGCGCGGTGTTTTCGGTAAATGTATGTAAATCATGAAAAATATTTTCTTGCAAACTTTGAAATAGAAATTTGTGAAAGGTGAAGTAAGGGATATCAAGAATAGTGTTTCAGTTACGTCAATTGATTTACAACAATATTTTCAAAGTTTCGATTTTCGAATAATTCACTGCGCGATGTTTTCGGACCGATATTATAAGAGAAAAGTATAAAAAAAAAAAACAATTTATTAACAATAATATTATGTGCATGTTTTTTTTTATTTAATACATCAGGTAATTAAATGATTTTTTTTAAATGGAAATTTCTACTTTTCTTTTTTTAGACGCAAAAAATTAACACAAATAATGCATCCTCGGCTTAACTTTACCTCCACCTTTAGGTTTTAAAATAGATTTAAGTCCTTTTCCATGTAAAACCAAACCGAATAACTGGAGATCGGATTAACCAAACTTAGAAGTACAGCCGTATCACTGTCAATTCAAACTCACGTGAATTACAAACTAATAAACGACACTTTGAGGTCAAATACGTGACGCATATGATCATTCAGAGTATATAGTAAATATGCATATTAATTAATCTTTATTAACCTCTAGTATACGATCATGAACTTTTCCAAGACATATTGATATAATTTTTTGTATTAATAGATAAGCGGCAATTGTTGCACCAGCGCAGCCTACCATGAATATTATCGAAATTATAAATAAAAAGAGTATAATAAAAAGACCACTACAATCATTACCAGAACCAGAACAATCACTTCCAGAACAACCTCCATAACTTAAACAAAAAGAATTATCACAACCACCAATATAACAATAACTATGTCTTGTATGACTAAACCCACTGAAACAAATCATAATTAAGAAAAATATTAAACCAAAACATGAAACTAATAAAATACCTATTAAATATTCTATAACACGAATGTTCAAAAATTCAATCTCTCTCCAATTATAATTACCAGGTAATTTATGAGGAGGGTCATTATTTGGATCATTTGGATCATTTGGATCATTTGGATCATGAGAAACATTATTATGCATAATCAATTTTACTATATAAGACATTAAATATATTATAGATAATAACAATGTCAAGGTAAGAAAATGTAAAGTCAAATTACTTGAAAATATTTTTGCTATACGTGGTCTATAAAATCTATATTCGTATTTACATACTTCACATCTATATGAGGCTTCCGCACGTACATTAGAATGACGCCATTGATTTAAACAACCAATATGTACATATTGAAGTGAACCTTTACATTTACAAGGAGAAATTAGTTTTCCCTTTTTATAAGTTTCAAAGTCCAAAACATTCGAAGAACTTGATTCTTCTGATTCTTGACATATCTTGCAAAATTTTAATTGCTGAGCCGCATTTAATAATGCACGAGTTGACATATCCTCATTTGTAGTATTTGTCGTTGATATATCGCTAAATCTATTATTATTTGGTGAAAGTGACATGATTTGTGGTTGTGGCTGAGTAGTAATTATTGAAGCAGAACTTGTATATTCAGGTGGAGAAGTGAGTGTTATCGTTGTGTGGTCTCTTGAATGAGACGGGGTTGGAATTTGTAATTTTGAATCTGTAGGATAAGGTGGTGGAGGCGCTTCATCTAATATGAGAACTAGGGAAGAATTGTTTTGAGGTAGAGGTGTTATTGGAGTACTTGCGGTGGTTACGGTATTTACGTTCGTAGTATTATCTATAATACTACTATCGCTTTGTGAGTCACGAGTTCGCGATGAAGATGAAATATCCATTGAATTTTTACTTTCAAGAGAATAAACTTTTAAAGAACAATATGAATTTTTTCAAGAAGACAATATTTTTATTTTGTAAATACGATTAAAAAAAAGAGAGAGAAATCAAAATTTTGATATGTACGTATATAAAATACGTGATATGTGATTTTTTATTTTATTTTATTATTTTTTTTTTTTCTTTTTTTTTTAGTAAGAAAAAAAAATCTTGGTATTTATTGATTATTTATATAATTATATGGTTTTAATAAATTCGGCAATTAAAATAATCATCATTGTTTTAATGATACTATTGGTGAAACAATTTCGGGTTTGACGCCTTGATGGGTAATTTTTGTGACAAAAATCGGTCGAAATATAAACTTACTGTATATGTATGATATGAGAAAATTATTAGAGAATTCGCTTCTATTCAAAAAGAAAAAAAAATTTGAGAGAAATAATTAAAGAAAAGAAAAAGAAAAGGGAGATAATTAAGAGTATTAAGAGTATAATTTTTTAAAAGAGCGATATTCGGAAAATACCCGTGATCGCCCGATATTTCCGACAAATTTTTTTAATACTCAATTTATATAATAATACATATTTAAAATAGGCAATTAATATCAGTATTCTATATTCTATATTTAACTTACAATCATGATATTATTTTTTTTTTTGAAGAAAATGTAATTTACCGTTAAATTAAATAAAACCTTTTGTTTCTAATTAATAAAGAAAAAGCGTTTTATTCTTTTTTTTTTCTTTTTTGTAGATCAAGAGTGAAAATGGATTAAATGGACAAACTGATGATATTTAAGGGCATAAAAATAATGAAGACTGGAATTTGGGCGAATTACCAGGATTCAAACCATTAACCTTACTATTTTTAGTCATATTACAACATAAACAATTCCATTAAATTTGTTTATACCAATATACCAAATATTACAAATTTTGGGCGGTAAAAACTATATTTTGGTATTCTTTATATTTCCATTTTATATTAAATTGTTGAATAATTGATTTCTTAAAATATTCAAATAATAATAAAAAAAAAAAAAATAGTAAAAATAAATAAAATAAATAAAATAAATAAAATAAATTAAAATAAATTAAAAAAGTAAAAAAAAAATATAAATATTTTTAAAATAATAATAAAATGAATATATAAATAATATTAAAGAAATTTATAAAATGTCAAAAAATATATTTCATATTCATATGAAATCGTTTCCATTAATTTTTGTTTTGTTAAATGGAAATTTTCTCTTTTCTGAATTTTCGGAACATTTGATTAATTTAGTTAGTAAATTGGAAGTTATAAATAAATGATTGTTGTTCTTTTTCTTTCTCGAATTTCCATTAACTGAAACAACAATAAAATTGATCGATTTAATTGTTTCAAAATATGTAAATCGGGAAGTGATAAAATCATATCATATTAACCTTAAAAAAAAATAAAACAATGAAAAAGCCATGACTATATAATTTTGTACGACATTTTTTTTTTAAAGCTACTATTAATAACTTTTACTTTTGCAAATGATATTCCTTTGACATTGACAATTGGAACCAATAAAATTTGATTATCATTTGTTAAATGAGTAAAAAGTAAAAGAGTTTTTAATTAAATTCGATGTAATAAAGAAATATTGATTATATGAAAATTTCTGGTTATTTAATACGATATAGTTATTATAATTATTGAAGGTTATTTATAATTTACCATAATTGTTCAGAATATATTAATATATATATTAATATCGAATAATTAATTTCCAAATTTCTTTAATACAATATTAATTGATACCTTATTGATCCACTTGTTTTATTACATTGTTATTGTTACATCGACTTCGTTTATCTTCGTTATAACGAAACCTTGTTCCATTTTGACTTTATAGGAAAGAATATCAACAAGAGCAAGTTTAAAATATTATTTTCCAAATTTGGATTGAAAACTTTTCCTTAATTAATTTATAGTATTATGCTGATCAGGTTAGTGACGTAAAATTAGGGATTTCTTTGTTTAGGTAAATCTTTACCATAAAATTTATTGTTTTAAAATAATAATAATAATAATATTTTAACAGTGTATTTTTCTTTTTTTCAACACAATGTCTATTTCAATCCATCTATTTCCAAGTCACCTAATAGTTCCTTCTGTCATCAAAAGATGAAATTTTATAAATCCTATTCCTGCAATTTGTAAATCGTTTACAAATAGAGTATTTAAATAATTTATTGATTAATGTAATTAATAATCAAGGATTATGAATTAAAAGATCATTTAAACTAGAATTAAAAATTTTAATATTTTATATAAGTGTATTGCGAACATTCCAACAAATCATGTGATCATGATGACAAATCAGATTGAATCGGTCATTCAAAAATAACATTAATTAGTTGGTCATAATAATTCAGCGGAATATTTTGCTCTATTACTCTATCATTGAATACGTTAACCAATTATTACGAACATTGTTTGAAATATTGTATTAAAAGAATTTCTAGCTCATTTTATTTATTTTGTCTTTCTAACACATTAAATTTTTCTATCATTGAATCATGCACATAATAATTATCAATAATCATGATAACGTTTTAAAGGATTATATATATATATGATACATGAACATAAAATACTTTATCAAATTACTTTTAATTAGTTAATTCCTTTTGGAATTTAGTGTACTTTTTTTAAAAAAAATCTGAACAAATTAGTTTAGATATAGAAAGAAAATATTATTAAAAAAGAATTTTATTAATTGTGTAATAAAAATTTCTCGTGTGACATTATTTTTAATTAAGCGTAATTTTAATAGGTAACACAACGATCCAATTAAAATTTTGCAAATCCGAATCATAAGATTTATTTTTGTGACAAAGAATTTTTGTTAAATTAATCTCATTATAAAATATGGTAATTTTGGCAAAGATCAATAATATTTAAATAATTATTTACAAAACAATTAAAGAATATATATATATATATATTTTGAATGGATTTTACATAAATGTAATGAATGTTGAATTTTGATTTTATTTTTAACTTTGTTTAAATAAATTTTTAAATAAAATAAAGTAATGGCGTTATCTGTCCTTTGTATTTAAACATTATTATATAATACTGATTTAATGATTATATTTCTTGGCATTTTTTTGATAAGTTCACTGAACAATTTGGGTTGAACAATTTTATGTCCAACCATGAGAAGCTGGTCATCACATTTGATTTGTAATAAATTAAAAATTTTAGAATATAATGATTTATTTAAAAAAATAAAAGTCTTCTTTTAAAATTTCTTTAAGTTTTGTAATTCCTATTTTTTTTACGTGATTTATTATATGATTCTTTGGACATTTTTACATTATTCACTAATTGTTATTTGATTGACTCTTTTGTAGTTAAATACTAGAAAGTTCAGAAAAAGATGCTAAGTAGATAATGGTTGGTATCGAAGTATGAAATTATTATATTTATATTTTTTATCATATATAGAGTATTTTAACCTTCTTCTCTGACTTAAATACGCTTAGCAGCTTATAAAAGAATATCACAATATTTTCATTCATTGATGATATTATTTTTCATATATTGCATTTAGAGGATGGTGCTTTTATAAGTTCACTACCATTTTTTTTTTAATACATCTAATGGGTTACGGAACGATTTCCCGACGGATGATTTGCATTTGCCCGACAGGTTTTTCCAGAGTTATGCAGAGTTATGCACAAACACGTGATAAAATGGCCAGCGTTATCATGAACACGTGATCAAACTGCGAACATTACATGATTTTCTCAATATAATGATAATAGCAATGTATTTCGTCTTATTTACTTCTTTTTTTTATTACAAAATTTTATGGAGTAAATAAGTAAATGAGGTAAGGTGGTGAAGTTTTACTTAAGAATAATAGGAACATTTTTCTTCTCACATTAATGGTTAAATTACACCTTTATTATTAAAGTTTAGAAATTATTATTTCGTTCTCTACATACCTTAAGCTTCATTTACTTTAGTTAAATAATAATGTGAAAAACACGAAAAATAATTATGCAAAAAAAAAATTTAACTAATTATTCGTGTGAAAACCACGAAAAAATAATTATGAAAAAAAAATTTACTAATTACTCATGTGAAAAAAAAAACACGGAAAAAAAAATAAAAAATTATTAATTTCAATATTTCAATAATAAATATTTTTTTTTTTTTATAATTAAACGAGTATAGTGAGATTAAGTTCTCGATCGAAATCTGAACAGATCAAAGAATTTAATTTAGAAAAGTTTATAGAGTCGAGCTCATACCAAAATTTATTAATCAAAGTCTATCAATGGGAGAAAGGTGAGAATGTTGCTTCTTCTGCATGAAGAGATACATTCGTTGTTAGGACACTAGCTCAAAACAAAAAATACGTTCTCATCCTCCACCAATCCTCTCAGACACGTACTACATTGTTGAAAATCTTCATGAAAAACACATTAAGAATCTCGAGGGCTCAAGTACACATTTTTATAAAAACATGTTTATTAGTATAAGGGTGAGATGCTATTAAAAGTTATAATACATAATTTATGAATTCAACAGTCCAACACCACCACTCACCACAAGTTCGCTACAGATGTACAGTAAGTCTTTAAAAAGAAAAGTTTTTTTTGCATCAGATCGAAGAGAATACACATACAAAAAAATCAACCAATAAAATTATAGATAATTTTCACGTGACCATATCGACAACATCATTTACCCCAGAATTTCCTCCCCACGTGATTTTTGGCCGGCATTATATGTCTCGGCCAGCATTAAGAAATCAAGCATGTGACAGATAAGGCGTGACAAATAGGATTTTACACACTGAAAAAAATTAAGTCCCTGGAATACATAGTAAAATGGAAAACAGGAAGGGTGTGACGCCGGTGACAAATTTTTATGATCACGTGGAGGTGGAAAATTTTTGTGGTGATACTGGGGAAGATGACAACATCCCCTTTCAAATCAGCTGATTTCTGACATGCCCCTTAGTACTGGGGTATTATTTTTTAAAAATACCTGAATGTGAATTTGAATAATAGTATCCTAGTACTTTTTGAAGGGGGTACTATTACAAGGAGGTACTGTATGCAGTGCTATA